GCTATCGACCAGACCCGCCCATCTAGGGGCCCTGATGCCAGGACCGCACAAAGGCTAAGGAGGCGTCCACCTGCCTAAGGGACAGATACTCCTGAATCCACCTACATGAAGACAGGACAGAAATAAACATTTACGGCACTTCTTTGGCCCCAAAGAGTGGACCAGCCTGACTGAGAGTGACGTAGTGATTCAGAACGACCGGGAGCCACGCGCCCGGGCAAGGACCCACGGCCCCAGGTGCCCCACTCGCAACTCACGCAGGCCCTCCCATACACATGCGCACTGACGCCTGAAAATTCTTGCTTCACACGTGCACACGTCCAGATGCACACACTGGTGGTGTGCTGGTGAATGCTCAGTACACTCTCAGGAGGATGCAGCAGAGACTTCATTTGTGCTGTTCACCACAAATATTCCCAGCATGATTAACTTCAAGCTGCCCACCTGAGGAACACAAAGCCCACAAGACACATGCCCCCCATCAACTATCCCACGCTAGTGTGAGCCATTCCAGTGCACCCCATCCCCTTGCATACAATAACTTGCACACAATCCCCTTACACCCTACATACGTAAACAAAAGTCAGTTTTTATATAAGCACACATAGGTGTCTTTCTTTCCTCTAAAGGTTGCTTTTATTCATTTCTTTTCAGGGAGATGGGAAGGGAGGGAGAAAGAGAGGAAGAGAAACATCAATGGGAGAGACAACCTTCGATCGGTCGCCTATCCCACATACCCGGCATGGGGACCGATGCCGCAACCCGGGCACGTGCCCTGACTGGGAATCAAACTGGCGACCTTTCACTCTGCGGGATGACACCAAAACCGCTGAGACACACATAAACACACACACACACATTTCTACCCTCGTCCTCGCTGAATATACTGATAGAACACCTCTCCTACCTAAATGTTACATATAAAACCCTAATCATCCTGAATGTCACATGCCAATCCTGCAACTATATTTACACACACAATGGGTCAGAATAAAAGTAAGCAGCCAACATGCCATCCAGATGTACACACTGGATACTTGAACACACACTCTCTCCAGAACGACCAAGTACACAGTTATCCCACGGGCCCCCGCGGGCCCCAGAAAAGGTCCATACACACTTCCACGGCCCTAAAATACACATACTCCACGATTCTTGAACGCACAACGCACACACCCACACAACCCTCGCAAGTCTCTTGATCTCCAGACGCACAAAGTGAGCTCTCACATCCCCATCAATACACACACCGTAAATCCCAGGAACTCGAAAACATACACAGCCACAAATAACCTATACTTCAAATACATGTAAGTCCAACTCACAAACACTGAGAAGACACATACAAGCTACGCCACCAAAACTCTGCAAGCGTTACATTCTGGAATAGACACAAACAGTACCCGAAACCTTCTGATACACTCACACATCCCAAATGCGCACCCACAGGCCACTCATGAATATGCACCTCATATGCTCAGGTAGATACATGCGAAACACAACACCGAAAATCCCTCAACCCCCACTAATACGCATACACCATGCTCACATCTATGGAAACACACACAAGGGCACATGTCCCCAGCCTGGGAATGAACAGATCTCTCAAACACTACACCGTCTACCACCTCTCCAAAATACAGTCTCGTCGCCCCTCGCCTTCGATATCAATATTTCTCTCTAGCCTAACCCTGAATATACGCAGGCCACTGCTTACTACCTACTCCCAAACACACGTGGGAGCACTCCAGCATTCTCTGAAGACATACGCCTTCAATACTCCTAACGCTCCCATACACCCTATGAACGGACTGGTAATTCACGCTCCTGGTGATGGATGTGAACACAAACCAGTATTCATGGGCAAGACACAGAAATATCTCCAGCAAACCGGATAAGAGACAACTTCCACGTACCCAATAATCCCTAGCTGATAAGAGCCAGCTCTCCCATCCACAAATCCTAACAAATGACCACACCACACACCTCTAATACATACAAATACGATTCTCCCGCTCTTCTGTCTAAACACAGACACCTGTCTTTCCATCAGATACACCCCTACTCACTTCCCAAAATAGACAGGCCTAATAATGGCCCCCTACGGAAAAACAGAAACCACAACGCTCCAGGAAATATTCCTCCAAACAGTCATGCGCCTTGAATATACACGCGCTCTCAATACACACACACAGCTCTCCACAAGCCCCCAATATACCCACAATTCCCCAGGGCACTACAAATGTGAACACAGCTCACCCCCTACCGTATGTCCCCAAAACACATATATTGTCACACTACCTGCATATACATACCCCCACCCTCCCTAATGCTCGCACAGTATTAACTCTTCCATCCCGCACAGTACAGAGTCACTCAAAAACCTCATCACACCCGCATATACGACAGGCACCAGGCCTATGGAAGAGTCACTGATTTGCCCTCTGCACACTGAAACAGATATACACAGCTCCTGAAAAAATCCCAAAAGGAAATACACGCAACCCCTTTGCAATGTGCCCTGAATACACAACGGTCCTTCTACATGCCCCAAATACGTAACAGAAAGATCATAGCCCCACGCTGACGAACACAAGCGCTTTTCCTAACATTGCCCATATGCGAGTGCAGATAATCCTTTCAAAGCAGCCATCAGAGAAGTCCCCAAATTCACGGGACGGAAAAATCCAGGGAAGCATTTCCCCAAGCACCGCATCACAAACACCTAACGGCCGACTCCTTGAGTATGCGAGCAACACAGCTCAGCTCCCTCCAAATTCAACACTCAATCCTACACCCTCTCACACGAACACCGACGAAACGATCCCACGCGTCTCAGCCCACGTATCAGACTCCCACCAACCAAAACCCGAACCCACACATTTCAATGCCCCTAGGAGATGCCCACCGGCCAACTACGTACGCACAAAACCCACCTGTGCTTGCAGGTCCTTGACTGGACAACGCACTGCGTTCCCGTCGGATCCTGCAAAGTCGCTCACCTCCTTGACACCAGCGCAGCGGGAACGGAATCGTTGGTTGAGATTTCACGCTAAGGAGCTAAGGAGGAAGGCGTTCCTGAGACTGTAGGGACGCAGGTGAAAACGTCACCTGCTTGCGCTCCTTTTCAAGACCTGAGCTCCTTCCTGCCGAACTGGAGGACAACGTCAAATTCGGAAGAACTGCCCCAGGGCTTTCGTATTACCCTGAATGCAGGGGACACAACGACCCGCAGAGTTCAACAGCTCACACCCACTAGTAGCAGCCCCTGCGGCCGGTTCCCAGGGGGGCCAATCGCCTGGTGTAAACACCACCGGAAGCGAGCTGTGTGGGGGCAGGAACACACACCTGGGTCCCATGCAGCCCACGGCCTGAACGACACTGAAGAGCGGTGACGCCGGAGGGGTGAAGAGTCCGCGCATCCCCTACCTCCTCGTGTACATAACCGACCCCGGAGGCCGCCATGCCAGTCCCGGTGCCCAGCCAGGGCGGCCGTTGGGCACCGTGCATCCCCCGTGGGCGCATGCGCGCGTACGGGCCCAACCACCGCAACGGACGCTGGGAGCCGTTGCGGACGTTGGGACGCGCCTTGGGAGGGGAGCCCCGCGCCCCAGCGGGCACGTGCGTGCGTGCGTCCTGGCGCGGGGCACCCTGGAACGTGGGGCTCCCTGGGGAGCATCTTAGGGCAGTCCTCCTCCTCCTCCTTCTCAGGAAGTCCCCTGACTGTCGCTCCTTCAAGCGGCGTGTGGGTTGTAAAATTGCAAATGTGCAACGCGTGCACTTAGATCCCAGCCTCGTGGAAGAGGGCCTCCAGTTGGTTTGCAGAAGTCTCCCTGAAGCACTTGGCCACAAGTCGGCGCAAGTGCCTTCATGCCCTGTGCACTGCATTTCTGAGGTTTCTGAAAACGGCAGGGCCTTAATCCTACCAAGCCTGGATGTTCCATTCCACAGTTCTGGCCAAGAACTGTAGACCTGGGAAAGACTCTGAGACATGCTTTCCCCTCACTCCGTCCCTACAGTTTCCCAAACCCATTTACTGAACTAGAACATTTTTCTTGCTGTGTTTACTTAGTACACGGAAGTCTTTCCATGCATGTGGATGCGCCGATGTTTCCTTTTGCAAGGAGGTGGTTACAACATCGATCCACCCTTGGCTGCTTGGGAACAAGTTCACTCACCTGTCCCTCCTTTTATGTATTCTTTTGCAGACTTTCACTTGGCAATACAAAATATACCTACAGTAGCAGAATCAACCGGGGGACTTGAGTTTGCCAGAGCTGCCGGAGAAACTGCAATCAGCAGATCCTCCTTATGGTCGTTTGCAAGACGAGAGCATCTCGCTCCACGGTTTAACTGTGAAGGCCACTGGCATCCAAGAAACCCTCAGCTTCTCCAGGCGCACAGGCTGAGAACTCCACAAGACACAAGCGTGGTATCTCTCCATTCCTCTAATGCTCAAGGTTTCCTCGTGATCAAAGCCCGAGTCCTGAGAAATACCTTCATGTCGTTTACTCTTTCGAGCCTCAAGGTAGTCTTTTGAAATAAAGTCTACCATGATTTTGCTTGAATTGCTCTCACCTCATCTTCTTCTGAGTCAGTCTGTCCTTTTGGGGGTGAGTAGGGAGGGTGGGCCGGAAATGTCTTAAGGGCCGACGGGAATCTTTTTCAGCGAATGTTCACCGTGTGGAACAGTCCTTCAGCCTGCCATCAATCAGTAGGGACCCTGCTGCTTTGGCAGGGAGTGAAGCTTGTCTCCCAAGAGATTTGGTTGCCATCCTCCAAAGTCGTCACCCCTCATCTCCCTTGACCAATTTCCTAACAATCCTGTCCTTTCCCAGCACAGGACACAAACGCCTGTGCATATCGTTTTGATGGTGATAAACTGACATTTATGCACAATATCAAACTAAGAATAACACACGTTTTTTTAAGGCGCGCTGGCATGATACACATGCAGATGGAGGCTACGGGGCCTTCCCCCATGGGCTGGAGCAAAGGGGATGGCTCGAAAGGCTGGGCCCGCTGCGGTCTCTGGCGGTTCCAGCACGGGACAGTACTCGGGGGCGCAGGACCGTTTCCTAAAGAATGATGTGCCCGTGCTGCCTCTGCGGAGTCACTCCTAGTTTCAGACACTGGGCTCCCTGTGGCCATACGTCGGTATCTGTTGTTTTTTCAGGTTATGTGTTTGAATTTTACTCAGAAAGCGCAGCCTGGGTTGAAGTAAGCCCAGAACCAGAAAAGAAGCAGGTTGAGGGACCCCCAAAGCAGGTTGTTGGACCGAGGACTGAAATAAGGGAACGTCAAGTAAAGCCTTTGTGCCGTGAACCCAAGAAAAAGCAATGTACACATTGCCTATAAGAGGCACACACCATTTACGGTGCCGCTCATTACTTGAAAGGAACTTCTGGTTCTTGCCCACCTGCCCGAGCCCTCCGTGGAACACTGGCCCCTCCCACGCCCGCCCAGCCTACCAGCCCTCGGCCCCTCCCCCGCTGCGGAATGTCTGGAGTCCTGCATTCTGCTGTTTAAATTCAAACTCTTCCCTCCACTGGATGCTGAGCATCTGTTGGAGCAGGTCACTCTCCAGTTCCCGTGCTCGAGTTTTCTCATTGCGGAGGCCGCTCGGCCGCGGTGGTCAGTGCCTCGGCCTGCGGGGATGACTTCCCAAGGAGGTAAGCCTGTAGGTCCGAGGGGGGATTGTTTTAGAGACGGGGCTGTCCCTCAGAACTAGGGATTAAAATGTGACACCTCCACTGGGGAAACATAGCTTGGACTGAAGGAGAGGAAGGAGAGAGCACTGGGCCTCCACGGACCCATCACGCGGGGAGGCCGGGAGCCAGTGGGAAACTGTGCTGGCACTGGACAGGACGGCTCCTGAGAGGTGCGGGGCAGGGCGACTCAGGGGAAAGGCCTGGGTGCCGAGAAAGGACAGCAGCAGGCACGTGCATTCTGCCTAGAGGGGAAACAAGCCACTTCGACCTGTGTGTGTCGGGAGTAGCGGGGGGATGCCGGGTGGTGACGCAGGGAGGGTCACGGGAAAGCCCAGTCCAGTGTCCTGTTCTTCAGGCACCTGGGGCTCGCTCCGCAGTCTCTTTCTAAGGGACTTGAACTATGTATGCTAGAGCTGATGGGGGCAGTGAGAAGAGGTGGTTTTCGCCAGAACGGTGTCCATCGGGGCTGGCCGTGGCCAAGTCTACGATGCAATGTCCTCCCTGAGGGCGAGGTTGGAAGGTGCTCCAACTGCCGCAGCCTAGCGCTTCTCCTTTCCTTCCAGCCCAGAGCTCACCTCTCCTCAGCCCTGGGGGCTGTCGGTTGTCTTGGATTCCACGGGGGCCGGGGCAGCCGCGTAACTTCCACCGGGGTGGGGCTCCGTTCCCCGACCTGCCCTGAATTGTTCCCCCTCTGTGGCAACTCAGTTCTTCAAAGGGTTTGTTCATACCTCACACCCCTGCTTCCCGGACAGAGAACGGATGCGGAGCGGGGTTGGTTTTCCCTCAGAATGCCTGTGAAGGCGGTTCCTTTTTCAAAGGGGGCGAGGGGAGTAGCGCAGAAGCAGGAAGGCCATCTTCCGCATCTCAAGTAAGAGTCCCAGGACACCTGACTTGAGTGTTTAGGGGCACGTGATGTGGGGCTTTTTCCCCCCCGCACTAGCCTGAGCATGAGCTCCTCTGAACAGGGGTGCGCTTGGGACAGTTTTGTCCCACCGACGCCTGGCTCACGCCTGGTTGTTACTGCGTCTTCACTTTCTATTGCTGGGGGCTGGTAGGGGCAGGACCACCGTCAGTCTGCAGTCCCATGACCAGCGGGACATTCTGGAAACCGACGGACAGCCCCAGTGTTCTCCGCCCCCTGGCCCTTCTCTAATTCTCTGCAGCCACTGCAGGCTGTGAGAGGACAGAATCTAAGGGACACAGAGCTCCTGAGGGGGGCGCGTACTCTGAGCGCAGGGGCGGGCGTGACAGAACCTGGTCCAGGTTAAGGGCTTGCTGTTGTTGGTTCTGACACACGTGCGCATGCTGGGCTGGTGTGTTAAAGGGGTTACATCAGGGTTCCCGGCTCCTTCCCGTGGAGGGATACTACTCCAGTGTTTTTGTGTTGTTGTGCGTGACCAAGAAAGGAGAGCGATGTATATTGAGGAAAAGGAGGGCTGAGAAGGAGACGGGGCCCTAACGTTTTGGAGACTGCCCGTTCACAAAGGCCCTTTGGGTGCCTAGAACTTAGCGTGGAGAAGGTCGCTACCGCTGGCGTGTCTGCTAGGGCCCTTTCCCGCGGAGCGGATTCCTGCCCGGTGCCACGTCTTGGGAGACAGCCTGCGGGGCTGGCAGGGTCGGGTGCCGGGGGACCCCCTTAGGGAGGCTCTCAGAGTCAGTGCTGGCTGGCGCTGTTTCTCCTCAGGAGACAGTGGTCGGGGAGCCTTAGTGAGTGGGGAGCAAGCGCTCCCCGTGGAATAATTGTCAGCCGGAGGTCAGAGCATGACAACGCCTTGAGGACACTGGCGGGCTCCACAGTTTCCCCCACCCAGAGGGCCCTCTGGTGTTGAGACTCACAGCTCTGATTCCCCAGGGGCTGAAAAGGACCCAGAGAGGCTCAGTGCTCAGAGACTGTGTGCTGAGTCTCCCACTGCAACTCCCCCTTTCCTTTGTCTCAACAGCATCTGCAGTGCTGGGAGCGGATGTGACCACGAACCCTGGTGCCTCCATGACTCCTTTGAAGCCACTGCCCTTTCCCCAGCCGACTGCTGGCCCTGAACACCTGCCTCCTCTCGAGCAGCTCTTGCTGCCCCTGAAGACCCTGTCATTGCCTGCTGGCTTCCCGCCGGCGCTGCCGGGTCTGCCCGGCACACCTCTGGTAGCCGGGGGTGCTGGACGTGGCCCCATTGGGACTGGGGCTTGCGACATCATGGACAAGGTCAGGTCAGAAGCGGGGCGACCACGGCCCCCCCAGACTCAGACCCGTGTCCTGACCCAGGCGCCCGGGAGCACGCCAGGGGCCCTGTGTGGCGGCGCTGTGTGCCCTGCACCTCCATTCTTGGAAGCATCTGCAGTGGAGGCGATTATGTCCACCCTGGCTCTTGGAGGCGCCCCGGCCGGCGAGGGAGGCTGGTGTCCCGGCTTTCCTCCTCGCGCTCCACCAAAAACTGCACAGCTGGCCTCCATCGTCCCCTCAGTGGACACTGGGGCTCGGCTCCACGGGGCTTCCGGCGGCAGTGGCCTGGCCGCCTCCCAGTCCGAGGCCGCGCCAGATGACTTCTGTAACCCCAAGAACCTGCACGAGAACTTCCAACGTTGGCGTCGCTTCAAGGCCCTGGCCCGGAGGCACCTTCCCCAGAGCCCTGATGCAGAAGCGCTTTCCTGCTTTCTCATGTGAGTGCGCTGGGCAGGGGCACAGGGGACTCCCCTGGACCTTTCCCACAACGGAGGAGGGGAGGAGCGTGGGATGGACCTGCGGGCTGGCTTACCCTCCGGGGTACTGGGGGGGAGGTCTGAGAGCAGCGTCCCAGCCACAGGGTGCGAGTGGGCGGTCAGCCTCGAGTCCAGGTTCATGGGCTGGTGTGAATGTGCAGCAGCAATGGCAGTAGCTGGGAAGTCTTGTGTTTGCACACACAGACGCCTCCTCCCTCACCTGCAGGCGCTCACGCTGGGTGGGGAGGTGGGACCGTGGGCTCCACAGAGCTGGGTGGGGGGCCAAGCTGCACACTGTGACTGACCCTGAGGTATTACAGCCCCGTGCTGCGGTCCCTGTCCCGCCTGAAGCCCACCATGACGTTGGAGGAGGGGATAGGGCAGGCCATGCAGGAATGGGATCGCAAAAGCAACTACGACCGCATGACCTATTACGAGATGGCAGAAACGTGAGTCAGGGTTCGGGGTCCCGACAGCCGCGTGCCTTTCTGGGCCGGGTAGGGGGCTGAGGGCGGTGTGCGGTGGGCAGGGGGCGGGGTGGTGGTGATGGGGGCTGACAGCAGGGCAGGGTCCCGCTGTGAGGGTGCTCATCAGAGAGGACGTTGTCAGCCAGCCCTGGGCCCCTGCAGCCCAGGGGCCGTTCTCCCCTCCGGAAGCCTCTCCCTCACCTTTGGAGCGTGGGCTCTTCTGTGCTACCTCTGGTGGCTCCACCCTCCCCTGACCTTGAGCCATCCTGGGATCCACATGAAGGCCCAGGACAGGCTGGGGTGGCCATGCCCAGCCCAGCGGGGTCGGACTCCAGCCAGAGGGGCCGAGCGGGGCGTGTGCTCCACCAGCCTGCCTCCTGCCTCCTGCCTCCTGCCTCCTCAGTGGCCGGGGCCCTGACAGCCGCAAGGCACTTGCTCTCCACCCCTCCATCGGCTGCTGCCTTTGCTGGGCTCCGGGCGGCCGCCTCCTCAGCGCAGCCTGTGCCTTCTTCTCCCTCCAGGTTCATGGAGCTTGAGGCAGAGGAGGAGATGCAGATTCAGAAGTTGCAGTTGATGAAGGGGGGCGCAAGGCCTGCCTGCGCCAGCCCCACCGAGACCCGATCCTCGGGGACCCCCAGCCTCCGTGGTGGGCCCACAGCCAGGTACGGCAGCATGTTCCCACTGGAGTCCATGGCCAAAGGCAACAGGGGCCCAGGGCAGGCCAGCGTCCCCGTGTCTGTCCATTTCCTTCAAGGGGACTTCGGTCTTTCAGTTGGAACAGTCACGAGAGCCAGGGCCTCAGCTGCCCTTTGTCACCATGGGGTCTGGACCTGACCAACTTGTGCGACCCCTCTCCCACCTCCCTGTAAAAGGACCCAACAGGAAGTCTGCTAAGAAACGGGCTGGGTGAGGGCTCCCTTGGAGAACCGGTGGCTCCACACGTCCCGACCCATAACTCTCTTGGAAGGACGCCCCGCACCTCCCTCCCCGTCTTCTCCCCTCACACAGTCTCGTGGCTTCAGGCGGCCCTGACCCAGCCACGCCCATGTGAATGCCCCCAGACACTGCCCTCACCATCGCATGCTCGGGAGGTGGAGGCTGGGGCCCCTCACGCTTCCTCCTCTCCCCTCTCCGCTCCAGTGTGCATTCAGAGGGAAGACGTACCCTGGGTCCAGGGCGCCTGCCGGCCCCTCGGGTCCCGGGAGACCGAGACATCCGATGAGATCCCCCCTGAGGCCGTGCAAGAGTACATGGACATCATGGACGAGCTGGAGGGGCTGACCCACCCTGCCACGGGGGCCCAAGGCGGAGAACGGGAAGAGGACAGAAAGGAGCCACAGCAGGAGCAGGACGAGACCTACCTGGACCCGGGTCTCCTGAGCTACATCGAATACCTGTGTTCCCAGGAAGACTATGTCACCAAGGTGGGCTGGCTCAGAGCTCCAGGGTCAGCAAGATTCCAGGGAGTGGCACTCCAGCACCCAGGCCCGGGTGTGTGTGTGTGTGCGCGCGTGCGTGCGTGCCTGTGTGTGTCTGTGGTGTGTGGTACCTGTGTGCATGTGTGGGTGTGCCCTTTGGTGTACGTATGTGTATGTGTTCTTGTGCGCGTTTGTGTGGCGGATGACCAGGAGGGTGTAAAGCGCCCTCCTTGTGCAAGAGCATGGGGTGGGTCTTTGCTTTTCCACTTTTCCTCCAGGTCCTGCGGACACACGGGTTACTCACAGCCTCTTCCTTCTGTCCCAGGTGGAGGCCATTCCCAACCATCTCCTGAAACCACTGGTGTCCGCAGAAGCACTGCTGGCGTTCACGCCCGTAGCTGAAAAGCTGGCGCAGGAGTTAGGACTCCCTCCTGTCCAGGTGAGCCAGGGGAGGGAGGGAACTGAGGAAGCTGGGAGGGAACTCTAGGTGAGCCCTGGGAGGGAGGGACCCAGGTGAGTCAGAGGAGGGAGAAAACCCAGGTAGGAGAGGGGATGGAGGGGCCCTGGGCGAGTCAGGAAGGGAGGGAGTCCAGGTAGATCAGGGGTTAGGGGACACCGGGGGAGCCATGGGAGGGAGCACCAGGTGAACCAGGGCAGGAAGCGACCCAGAACAGGGGTGCGTATGACTCCGCCCGCCCCACCCCTGCCTGGAGGCATGGCATGCCGAGGGGCCACCTCCGGGGTGCGGGCAGTGCAGGATGACAAGGAGGAGAGGACTAGAGAAAGGAGAGGGCGGTAGGAAGGAGAGGCTGGGGAGCCCCGAAGGGGAGGGAAGGACACAAAGCTGGGAACGTGGCACAGGAGGATGGCAAGAGAGCCGCGTGACTGTTTTGGATTGGAGTCCCGGTGTCACCCCCTGCTCTGCTTCCCCCAACGCCATTGTCCCGTCACGCACGCGCCTCCGTCTCTGACACACTGTCCCCTCTTCCTCGCAGCTGGAGGAGGAGCGAGTCCTGGCCTCGAAGGAGGAGGAGGGTGTGCAGGCACCCCCGAGTCATGGTGCATCCCGGTTGGACTCCAGTCCTTCTGAGTCTGCGGGCGGCCAAGACGTCCAGAGGTGGGACCACGGCCCCCGGCTGAGGGTCGGTGACAAAGCCTGCCCACCAGAGGCTGCCTTCAAGGGCCGTCAAAAGCGACGTCGAGAAGAGGCCCACCTGTCCAGGCCCAGAGCCGTTGCTCTCTCGTCAGGACAACAAGAGTGCCCACCACTGCGGGCTCCGTGCCCGTCGTCTGCGCCCCAGGGGCACAGGCGCACCTACCCTAGACTGGCGCCCAGGGATGCCTCCATTCCCAGAGAGACCTCTCGCATTAGGGAGACTGTCGGGCCAGTGGGCAGGCCCAGTGAGAACGAGGAGGACCTCCCCAGCCTGGCCTTCCTCATGGCCTCTCCTAAGAACCTGCTGCCCTGTGCGCTCTCTCTGAGTCCTGTCTCTGCCTCAGGCCCTGCCTGCCCTGGAGGTTGGGGGCCCCCGCGAGCTGCCCAGTCCCAGCCTCGAAAGAGAAAGTGTGACCAGTCTGCCACAGGGAGTAGGGGGAAGCGGCACTGCAGCTCCTACGGAGCAGCGGCGTGCCCCTCTTACTGCCAGCCTCAGACAAGATGGGGGTGCCCAGACTAGATGCGACCTGGCCGTCCCCCAGAGGAGCCACGGCTCATTTCTCATCCCAGGGCCGACCCTGGCTGTCCTACTGACATGGGTGGGAGGGCGAGAGGCCGGGAGGGAGGGAGGGCAGGAACATTAGGGTGGGCGGCGGGGAGTGGGGGGTGGGGGGTGGGCCTGGGTAAGGGTGGGGTGGGGTGGGGGTGGGTGGGGAGGAGCAGCACCTTTGGGGCATTGTGTAGTATTGATTACGAATAAAGATGGTTTTGTTTGGAATTGCTCTGGGGGCTGCTTTCTGCATACTCAGGTCTGCGCTGCTTCTTGGACAGGGTCCCTGAGAGGAAAAAAGAGTGCGGGAGGTTGCGGGTGCTATGGCCTCCCCGGTGAGCCCTCAGGCCCTGCTTCCAGTTTGGTGGCGACTCCTGTCAACTGCTCCTGGCAGCACACAGCTCCCTGATCCCCAGGGAGCCCTCCCATCGCTCCTACTCCCAAGGCCAGACTGGGTGAGGGGCGTCCCGAGGCCTCCCATCATTATCCCTGAGCCTTCTAGGGATGGGCAGCTGCTTTGGGGACTTTAAGCCCTCTGGGCCATTAACCGGTTTTCTAGAGTGCACTGGAGTCAGCCTTGTCTTTAGGGATCTTCTTTCTGCTTCCCAGAAGCCGTCAGACAACGAGGCTGCAGGATCCTCAGCTCTCCCAAGGTTTCCTGTGTGAGTGGTCTGACTGGAGAGGAAAAGGCTTGGCTTCAGGGGACAGGCTGTCTGCCTCTGTGCCTCGTTGCAGGAGAAGCGTCCTCCAGTCTCAGTGGGATGACTGAATGTGGAGGGTGGAGGGGGCGGCGAGGCTGGAAGGAGGGCGTGACAAGAGAGTGACGGGCCGCCTGTTGGAGGTGCGTACGTGGGGGAAATGACAGTGGACACGGGGACGGCAGCTAGTCCCTTGCAGGATTTTGGTGTGGGAGTGTCTTGTCCAACTGAAGGGGGAGGACCCACCTGCGCTGTGGCTGGGGAGATGGGCTCAGTGACCACGGGTCTTCAAGAACACCCTGCCACCGCTGTCCCTTCCCCCTCAACCACGGCCGGACTCTCGTGTGAAGAGATGCGGACACAGAGTTACATTCACGTGGAAAGCAGTTCCTGCTAAAGCACCCTGACTTGGTTTCACACGCACGGCACGACCAGCCGGGGCAGTAGGGGGCGATGTGTGGCTCCAGAGTTGTTGGGAGCCGGAGATCCAGGCTGATGGAGGGATCCTCAATTGTCCTGCGGTGGGCGCTGGTACCGACCCCACAGTCAAAGCAGGAGACCCGAGCCGCGGATGTTAGAGTTAGATGAGCAAGCAGTGAGGGCCAAGAGCCGAGCCGAGGAGACCCCCTGTCTCCAGAGCTGCCTTGCCCCACCTCTGCTCCCATGGGGACACGCCCTTGCCCTCACCCGCTTCCCTCCTGGCCAATGCCTCTTCTTTAGGTTTAAAGCTCTGATTTCTCCCCTGGGCGGGCCCAGGTTGTGCCAGGAAGGCTGAGCCTCCCGGAGCATGGGTCCAATTCCACCCAGCATGCAAAGCTGTGGCCCAGGGTGGTGGTCCGGCAGCAGGGATGGGATGGGGCTGAAGCTGTCAAGTTCCACAGTGGATGGCCTGGCCCCCAACAAAGAACTTGGGCAAGAATGGACTCAGGTCAGCATGGCAGGGCCCTCCCCCACCTCCCGTGGAACGCAGTTCATTCCTCGGGCCCTCCGCCACCGCCTTCCCTCCTCTCGTGCAGCAAGCGGGCAGCACCCACGTCTCCCAGCCTTCCTGGGCACTTTGTGAGGAAACTTCTCATTGTGGGCCACGCTTTCCCCAGCTGCTGCCCCTTCCCTGTCCAGCTGGGCCTCCACACAGAGAAACGGGCTCAGAGGTCATGTCAGGCTCTGTGAGCGTTGAAGGGCTGCTCCTGAAGCTGACGCCCCTCGTGGGTGAGCGTCCTCCCGATGTGCTTACCCGGCGTGCCCCTGCCTAGGGTGGCAGGCGCCGGATGCAAATGTGGTGGGTGGTGGCCAGAGCCTGGCACCCTCCGTTCCCCGGTGCGAGTTTGTCCTGTGATCTCTCTGCTTGCAGGGTCTTCGTGGTGAAACGGGGTAACACATCCCCCTCTCAGCGTTGCAGGAACACCGAGTGAGTCATGCCTGAAGGGAACTTACTCGCTCCACCGCTGTGTGTGCTGGGCCCCCAGTCACCATCATCAGGTTCACATTGGCCCTTGGGTTCTCTGCACATGTTCCCCCTTGCCTGGCAGTTTCTGCTTTTGAGTCCTGGTTTGGATGAACAGTTCCCAGGAGAAGGCAGAATCTGTGCCCCATCCCCCACCCATCTCTGAGCCCTGTGAACCCTAAAATGCCCCTGTAACCTGCATAGTGGTAACAACTGGAGGCTCACTGCTGCTTCAGTGTTGGGTGAGTCCAACTCCACCAGCTACGTGGAACCTTGTAGAGATTTGCACACTAGTTCTTGGAAAACACTGGAGTAGGTACAGTGGGAAGTAAAGGAAAGAAGCGTTCCATATTATTACTGCGGCTAACCTTCCATTTTACAGAACAACAAACTTGGCATGACCCTTTGTGAGGATAGTTCATAAGGTAGGAATCAGGAAGGAGTTACTAGGGACTGAAGTAGAATCTCTGGATACGACAACGCTGTCCCAGCCAACCTCCATGGAAATCATGATACTCATACAGAGAAGATGCTCCCTGAGTGCTCAGCGCTCTCTGGTGCTCCACCTCCCCCTTTGCTCACTGGGTGTCCACAGAGAGCCTGGGGGCAAGTCATGCTTCACCACTGTTCTGTGAAGAAAGTGGGCTCAGGGAGGTCGGGGGGCTGAGTGCAGATTGTACACCAGAAACTGGGACGGCCCAGGCGGCACCATGAGGGTTTGGCTCCAGAGGCTTCCTCCTCCTCCACTAGGAGTAAATCCCCTGGAGGAAGCCATGGAATCTGGAGAGATCCCAGTGACATAGGAGCAAGCCCTGTCACCCTCACCGCGTGGTTCTGAAGTGGCATCTCATTGTGGGTTGTGGTTGAGTTTCCCTGATATTGAGCATCTCTTCATATGTTTACTAGCCATGTGCATATCTTCTTCGGAGCAATGTACATTCATCTTTTGCCCATTTTTAGTTGGTTTATTTGTCTCTTACTATTGGGCTATAAGAGTTCTGCATACACTCCAGGTAAAAAGGGTCTTTCCAGAGATACGATTTCCACAAATTCTCCCATTTTGTGGGTTGTCCATTATTTTCTTGATAGTGTCTTTTGAAGGAAAAAAAATATTTAATTTTGATGAAGCCAAACCTATTTATTTTTTTCTTTGCTGCCTTTGTTTTTGGTGTTGTATCTAAAAATCTGTTGACAATCTCATGTCATGAAAATGCATTCCTATGATTCTTCCCTTTTTAAACCATCTTTTGCACTTTTAACTGTAGAGTCCAGCAGTGTCATGTATATTTCCACTGCTGTACAACAGATGTTTAGAAAGTTTTCATCTTTCCACACTGAAACTCTGTGCACATTGGACACTTGTTCACCCACCTTCTCCCCCAGACCTGGACCACTGTCTTTCTACTTTCTGTTTCTGGGACTTGGACTACTTTAGATACTTCACATGAGTGGAATCATGCAGTATTTGCCCTTTTGTGACTTGCTTATTTCACTTAACGTGATGTCCTAGATGCGGGGGTATCCAATCTTTTGGTGTCTCTGGGCCACACTGGAAGAAGAAGCATTGCCTTGAGCCACATATTAAATATGCAAACACTAATGAAATTGATGAGCAACAGCAACAACAACAAAAAAGGTTTTAAGTAAATTTACAGTTTTGTGTCAGGCCACATTCATAGCCATCCCGGGCAGCACGTGGCCTGTGGGCCTGCAGGCCACGGGTTGGACACCCTTGTGAGGTCCATCCCCGTTGTAACACATGACACAGTTTCCTTCTTTTCAAGGCTCATTTTACATACAGACTGCATTTTCTTAATCTAGTCCTCTGTCGATGGACATGTGGGTTTCTCCTGGCTATTGTGAAAAATGCTGCAATGAACGTAGGTGTGCAAATAGCTTGTTGAGATCCTGCTTTGGATTCTTTTGGAGAGTGGGTTGTGGGATCACATGGTAGTTATAGATTTAATTTTTTGAGAAAATTCCAACTTGTATGTCCATCTTATAACATTGTTCATGTTTTTGTTATAGCTATAATTGAAATTATATAATGTGATAATTTGGGGGTTATATGTATTATTGTATTATACATATCACATTGCCTCAGACTTCTTTCAACATTCCGACTTCAGGAGAATAAAAATTATATATTGGGTGTCATTTGATTTTTTAATAATTTATAATTTTGCATTGTGTAGATATATTAAAAATAATTTACAATATCTTGTTGCAGAACTTAAAAAATATATAATTGATTGCAGATGTAAAGTTTTTTTGTTCAAGGCCTTTGAAAAATTTTTCCATCTAGTATACTTTACGTAGTTGCTATTGAAAAGTATGCCAGCATTTTAATAACCCTTCCTTCCTTGCTAACTGCTTTTAACATTGTCTTGAGTCTTTTGAGTTCAATCGTTTTGAGAGGTGTGGCTGGTTTCAGGCTAAAAAATTTTCTACCGTACATGGGATCTCGTTTGCTTCATTAACTGATAATACACATTCTCGATCAACTCTGGAACATAATATTATCCTTTCAATGTTGTGCCTCCTTGTCCTCTCTTGTCTCTACTTCTACAGCCCCAGATATATGTATATGATACCATCTTATGAATTCTCTAAGTCTTCATCAACTCAGCTGCTATAACAAAATACCATAGACTAGGTGGTTTAGGTGCCATTATTTATTTAGTTAGTTCATTTTTAATTAAATTTTTAAATTTTCAATTAAAGTTGATATCTAATGTTATATTAGTTTCAGGTGTATGGTATATACACCTGAACTAACTATATAGACATTTATATAGCTTAGAAAATGATTCTCTCAGGAAGTCTTA